GATAGCCCATTCCCACTCCTTGTGTTTCTCTCCTCAACTCCAAGGCTCCACCGGGTCAGAAGGTAATGGGTACAAACCCCTGGAGCACCCCCCGACACGCATCTTCTCCAGTTGGGAAGATGTGGAATATTCTGGGAGCTTCTATATTAAGGGAACCAGGTAGGGTGCATGAGGAGGGTCCAGGTAGATGCTTAGTAACTGAAATCACCATGTGCATCCGGGGACTCCCTTTTTACAGTCACAAAGCACTCTGCCTCCCCAAATTGCACTGATCTTCCCACCAATGCATGAGGAAAGCAGGGCAGGCTCGATCAGAGCACTATCCCCATTTTCAGGGACCCAGGGAGGAGAAGCCCCTCAAAGGAGGTCACAGGGCAGGTAGGATGGAGCCAGGGCTGGTGGCTCTGTTTGCTGACAGGGTTACTCCACGCTCTTAATTGTGGGGGTGGGTTTGCTGGGCTGTTTCACCCGGGGCAGCTGTTTCTTCACTGAGAGCAGCAGAGAGGGAAGAGAATGAGGCAGAATTTTTTTGGGGGGGAGGGGGTAGGTAGTAGGGGAGCAGGAGAGTTCCTCCACTCCATGGGGTTGCCAGAGCCAGCCATATCCCGGAATTTCTCTAGTCTGATGCAGGCTTTTAGCTGGAAGTGTGTAGAGAGTGATGGAAGATTTTATTTATGGCTAACTGAAGGCTGTTATTTTACCATTAAGAAGAGTGTGCACGGCAGGGGTGGGTGAGTTATAAGTTACAAGTCTTTTCTTACAGAGTTACTTGGGAAGATTTAATTTAGGGCTTAGAATCCTAGGAAGATAGTGTGATCTAATGGGAGGAGATGAAGACGGAGGCTACTCTGTTACTATGTAACCTGGGCCTCAGTCTTCTAATCTGTAACAGAATAGCCTCTCTCTGTACCTACCAACTTCAGAGGGATGGGCAAAATGTATCCACAAATGAGCAGGAAAAGAATGCATTGATCAAGTACTTCTTTAACTCTTATTCTGTGCCAGGCACTGTTCTAAGCACTTTACAAATATTAGCTCATTTACTCCACCTCACAACTCTGGGAGGACAGTGAGGTACCGAGAGGGTACATAACTTGCTCAATGTCACACAGCCCGTCTGTGGTAGATCCGGATATGGACCCAGGCAACCCAGTTGAAGTCTATGCTCTTAACCACTGCACTTTGCTGCCAACAGAGGAGCCACTTCTACCAGGGAGCTGGGGGCTGCCAGCTATCACTCTGGAAAACACCACACCCTATTTTCTACCTGTTTGCCTTCCCTCTTGCTTGTAGCTCCAAACCCCACCCCACTCAGGCCTTGGGTTTGTGATTTTAGGTTCTGGGGCAGGTGTAGGAAACAAGGCACAGAGCCTGGTGGGTAAAAGCACAGGCTCGAGGATGAGACAGATCGGGCTTGACCTGGGCAAATTACCATCCTGGGCCTCAGTTCCTTCATGAGTAAAATGGGGCAATAATGCAGTCGTGTGGTTGTTTTGAGGATTAAACAAGATGACTTACGTAAAGCTCTTAATACAGGTCAAGGTACATAATTGGTTCTAAAAAAATTACCTTCTGTTATTAATAAAGTGTGGGGAAAAAACTGTTCAAAATAAAAAGAAAAACAAAACATATAATTTAGTATGATAGAGCCCCTCAGGATGGGCTTCTTGTTTCCACCTAAGGGCTTATACCACATTCGGGACTCTGCCACTGAGAGGCAGGGAATGTTCCCAAACTCTTCAATTGTACCCACTCCCTGGGTAGCAGGAGGTGGGAGTACAGGAGGGTGATGCTATGCTAGAATGGGTCAGAAGTTCAGAGAAGAGAACCCATTATTGATCAACTACCAGGCAGGGTGCCAGACTCTACCTGTGTTGTCTACTTTGATCCCCACGATAAATCTTGAAAGGAAGTGATAGCAAACACACTTTTTAATTGAAACTGAAGTTCAGACAGGTGAGGGAACTTGTCAAGGTCACACAGCTCAAGAGTGGCAGAGCCGGAATTTGAACTGAAGTCTCCAAGACTGTTATAATTGGAGGGAACTTGTGGGATGCCTAAACGGGGGTTCTTAGCGACCCTCCACCTGCCTTGTGCCTTGCAACATCGCCTCCCTTCCCTCACTGATGAAATAGTGAACATTCCGTGGAATGTCACTCTGGCTGCTACAAATACCAAGTGATGCCCGGGGTGGTCGACACGCTGTCCCAACACCAGAATCCATCAGCTCTGACTCCCTCCAAAGCTTATGTGAAGACAA